GCTTGCTAGGCAGGCAGTCGATCACTGGAGCCACTCCCCAACCCCATCATTGCACCTTCAGATGCATCAGTTCGGGATTGCTTCTGTTGTCCTTTGTGAATTGGTTCCAGCTGCTCAGACCAGACCATAATAAGCATGCACATCCCCTGCCCTCCCCACCCTTGGGAAAGAAACCGGCTTGTTTATCCTTCAAGGTCTCCTACAGTTCATTGGCAGGTCATTTCCTCATGAATCAGTCCCCTGTTGCCTCATTACCCCAGAGTTTCTGTAGCCTGAAGGTGTATCAAAAAACCTGGGAGCACAATGGTACAAGCCTTTAATCCCAGCTACTTGGTAGGCAGTGCAGCATGATTCCTGATCAACATCAGCCTGGGCATTGTTAGCAAGACCCTGTCTCAAACAAAACTACAAAAGAGCTGAGTTCTGGTAGCCATGCTTATAATTCTAGCTTCTTGGGAGGCTAAGATTGGAAGGATGAAGATTCAAGGCTAGTTTAGGCGAATAGTTTGAGAGATCTGCATCTCCAACATAACCAGAGCAAAACAGACTGCAGGTGTGGCTCAGGCATGAAACTCTCAGTTCAAACCTTAGTCCTACCAAAAAAAGTTACAAGCCTGGTATGATGGCTCACACCTGTAATCCTAGCTACTTGAGAGGCTGAGATTGGGAGGATTGCAGTTGGAGACCACTGGGGCAAAAAGTTCATGAGACCCCATCTTAATCAATGTCTGGGTGCAATGATGCATGCCTGCCATAAAGAGAGACGCTAGTCAGGTGCTAGTGGCTCACTCCTGTAATCTTAGCTACCCAGGAGGTAGAGATCAGGAGAATCACGGTTCCAAGCCAACCTAGGCAAATAGTTCGAGAGACCCTATCTTGAAAAAACCCTTCACAATAAAGGGCTGGTGGATTGGTCAAGATGTAGGTCCTGAGTTCAAGCCCCCGTACCAAAAAAAATAAAAAGAGCGAGAGAGAGACCCTATCTGAAAAATAACCAATATATGCCAGGGGTTCATGACTCATGCCTATAATCCTAGCTACTCAGGAGGCAGAGATCAGGAGGATCACAGTTCAGAGCTAGCCCTGGGCAAATAGTTCGTGAGACCTCATCTCAAAAAAACCCTTCACAAAAAAGGACTGGTGGAGTGTCTCAAATGGTAAGAGCACCTGCCTAGCAAGTGTGAGGCCCTGAGTTCATACCCCAGTGCCAAAAAAATAATAACCAACAGAAAGGGCTATCAGAGCCAGGCAGTAACTCACACAAGTAATTCTAGCTCTTCAGAAAATTGATACTGGGAGGCTCAAGGCCAACCCAGGCAAATAGTTCACAAGACCCCCATCTCCAAAATAACCAGAGCAAAATGGACTGGTGGTGTGGTTCAAGTGGTAGAGTGCCTGATTTGCAAGCATGAAGCCCCTGAGTTCAAACTCCAGTCACACACACAAAAGGCAGGGGTGGAGCTGGTAGACTGGTTCAAGCAGTAGAGTGCAGGATTAGCAAGCATGAGGACCTGAGTTCAACCCAGTACCTCACAAACACACACACACACACACACACACACACGAATTGAAGGTGTAACTCAAGTGATAGAGT